TATATACTAATTGCACCACTGACTCAAATAATTAATGTTAACTCTCTGATTTGAAAGGTCAAGAAATTTATTAGAAAATATTGTCTAAAACATGGCAGAAGAAAATAGGAGATTTGTAAACTTAATTATGATTATTATTGTAGCTTAAAATTTGTATGCCATTGTTGACCTTTAATATTTATTTCCTATATTTGCTTCTGTGATATTTTGTTTGTAGTAAAGTAAAATGGTTTTTGATTTGCAGGTGTTCGTAAAATTGTTCTTTCCACCAGTATTGCTGAAACATCCATTACCATAGATGATGTTGTTTATGTCATAAATTGTGGCAAAACCAAACTACAAAATTTTGATGTGGAAGCTAATATTTCTACATTGAAACCTGAATGGATCAGCTTGGCTAATGCACGTCAAAGACGAGGACGTGCTGGAAGGTAAATATTTTTGACAGTTGTAACAGCATTATACTGTAAGTCTTCAAGCTCTTACTGCTGTGCTTGTTACAATTGTATGTTTTATTTGTTTATTTTGCAATATTAAGTTGTCGGTTAAAATCAATTTTTAAAAAGTAAATCAGGGTGTTCAAACTCCGATATTCTCAAATACTTGTTACATAACATTATTTTCCTATTGTGATGCTGTTCTTGTACCTAATCAGTTATCTTTCCTTCTGGGTAGCAGTGATATTGCTTTTAGAGATAAAACCAAAAAACTTTTTAAACTGCTGGACAAAAAAAGGTACACACCCTGGAGGATTGCTCCAATAATATCCCATTTTGATATACATGCATACCACTGATGAGTGAGTAAATGATTAGATTCACACCAATCTGCAATGTGTAGAACGTGCACCAGAGTGCATTTGTGATATCACCGCCCTGTTGACAGTGAAGAATGACTTTTACCCACAGTAAGAAGCACCCATGATGCTACGCAGATGTGTTCGACAACCTGTCCACTAATTGACCACATTTGACAGAGGCAGTGTTTTGGGACAAGAGGCTGGTTGATTGTCATGCAATTACCAGCCATGTGAAGCAGATGTCACAGTGGCAGATGTTGGAATCAAACCCATGCATTTTGTGCGAAGCTTGGGTCAACCAAGAAACACAACCTCAAGGGGGAGAACCATTGGATGGTGCGCAAAGTAGTGCAGAATTCTGTGACGTGTACACCTGCCATCCATGAACATGTACCGGCGACTACAACATCCTGTTGAGTTCCCGCACAGTGGCTCAACGACTTGCATCCACCGAATTGGTGTCCAAGTGCCCCAAGCATTGGTTGCCATTGACACCAGAACACTGATGTCTGCATTTGGATGTGGTGCCATGCCCGGGAGGCATGGATAGCAGACAAATGATGTCACATCATGGTCAGTGATGGGTCTCGCTTTGTCATAACCTCGAATTCCATTGTGTTTGAGTGTGGAGGCATGAAGGATAGAGGGCACATGCTGCCCAAAATGTGGAGAGACACAGGTGTAACTCCGGGCATCATGGCGTGGGGAGTCATCAGATACGCCTTCAAATCACCTCTAATAGTGCTTTGACAGTCTTTGACAGCAGAGGATCACAGACATTCTGCGTCCGCACGTCCTACTCTTTATGGCCCGGCACTCTGGAACAGTATTCCAACAAGCTAATGCATGCCCACACACAGCATGTGTGTCTAAGGACTGCCTAGAGAATGTTGAGGTCCTCCCAAAACTTCTCCATAATTGAATACGTGTTGGATGCCATTGGAAGGGGACTCCCTTGCAGAATCAACCTACAGGATCTATCTGGAGGAACAGACACCACGACTGTGGATGAACTTGCCTCGAGAGAATCCAAAGGCTGTTGGACACCGTTCCGAAACACATAAGAGCATGCGTTTGCAGCCAGAGGAAGTGTGGCACCCTACTGACTACTGGTGTCAACTTTCCATGTGTAACTGTCAATGGCCTTGCCTCTCATCCCATAATGTAATCAGTTCAATTAAGTCATATGGTCTTTCAGCATTTGTAGTTTCATTTACTTCCAACCACTCTTTCTGGGTACATCACTTTTTTTGTCAGGCAGTGTATTTCAGATCTTCCTCAATGTGACTTAAATTTCTACACTCTCTAAATTCCCTGAAATTAGGACAAGAAATAAGATTATTTGCCCCTTTTTTTTGTAGAGTACAGCCTGGAAAATGTTATCATACCTACACTCGTGCCAGAGAACAAACTTTAATGAATTATGCTCTACCTGAGATGTTACGGACACGATTGGAAGAAGTGATTCTTCAAATCAAAATTCTGCAATTAGGGAAGGTGCAGCCATTTCTGGAGCGGGTACTGGACCCTCCCAACAGCAAAGCTGTGGATCTCTCTTTGAAGGTATGTAGATGCCATTTGATTTTATAGCTAGCATGGAGATTTTATACAGCTGAATTCCTTTGAAATATAACAATTTTTAACCAAACTTATTCAATATTAATTTAATCTTGAGAGTTGTTTAATTCTTCCTCAGTTTTTACACCTTTCTCATTGAGTGTCTGTCTGTGGCTAACAATAGTACCTAAAATCTATTTCCTCCAAAATTGATATTGAATTGATTTAAAGGAACTCGAGGCCCTGTGTGTTTGAAACTGATATTTTGTTTTTTGGGGGTACATTACGTGAAGCCTCAATTACATTTTCAATATTTTTTCTCGAAAAGGCTCCAATTTTTGTTATTACAATTTGCCCTTTGATAATGTAAAGGGCAATTAAAAGAAAGGTGCAAGTGTCCTTTCGTTAAAATCCCTGTCTTTTCAAAAATTGTGTTAATTCCAAATTTTTTTATGGTGTCTTCCTACAACTATAAAATTGAAGATAGAGATTTATTCTTAAATAAAATTTGTTGTTCAAAGACAATCTTAAAATAAGGTTATGTACAATTTTTCAGAAATGAGTAGTTCTTGGGTAATTTTGTGTAAAATATAGGCAATTATTAAAAAAAATTATACAATTTTTTCTCAAAAACAGCTGACATTTTTTTCTTGAAATAATTTTCTCCGCGTGTATGTTAAAGGACAGTAAAAGGTGGGGTACAAGTCTCATTTCCAGTTCCTTTTGTCTTTTGTTTTCTCTTTTCCCCCTCAAAGAACACAAAAAAAGTTAACAATGCAAAACTACAAATTTGAAAATAGACACTTTTCTCTTTGCTGGAATATGCTCTAAAAAAATAAGATGTTTAAAAAGGGTCATGTGCAATTTTTCAAAAATATGAGTCATTTTTACATAATTTTGCATGAAATAAAGGCAATGTATAAATTCAGAAGTTTACAAACATATTAATGTCCATTGGATGCTCCTTAAATATTTATTATTATTTAAACAACTATTATCTCAAAAATTATTCCAAATTTTTTCAGTGAATACAACAAAGGACACTGACAATGGTGGTATTAGTAGTTTTCAAGTAAGTTTGAATTTAAATAGTGACAGGCTTTTTTAAATATTTTTATTATTATTATTATTTTGTTTCAACAAACACTGGTATGTTGTGTCAACAGATCTATGCTATTGAGTTATGTATTAACCTGTTCAGACCCCTAGGGTTAGTTTGATGTATTATTTTTGTAATTGTAATTATTTATGTCATGAAAAGAAAGGTTATGAATGGACAAAAATTGTTTTGAATATTTTTGTTTCCATCAAAGAAATACCTGATTTACCCGAATAAAAGAGGAGTTTTTTGTTGTTGTTTTTTTTGTTGATATATCTCGGTTGAAAAATGCGGGTTTGTCTTACATTCACAGATTAAGCGTGGTCGGTTATGATTGAAGTTTTGACATTGCCATTCCATGTCACAAAACTCGTAAATGTTGACTTAACAATAAGCTGCACAGACATTAAAAATTTTGCGCATAACAATTCGAACTAATATTCGTGTTCGTATTCTCGGCATCCACCCCGATTTAGTTGGGCAATTCAAACCAATATTATTGAATGGGCCGGTAAAGAAAATCTCTAACCGAATGGTATTGTATCAAATGACACAAAACATGAAAATGATTGCTGAGAGTTTGTTACACAATGCGGGTTCCCCGAGGCTGCGTGGAATTTCGGTTCTATGCCCAGCGAAAAGGAATTTGTGTTTTGAACAGAAACAGAGGCCATCAACAAGTGCAGGACGGATAGAAAATCTGGCAACGGAAGGGAATGTTCTTGAATGGCGTCTGATGAAATACTATGAACAACGCAAAATTTAATCCGCAAAACTTTCAAGAAGGGCCAGAAAATATCACAGCAGGGAAGGAGGACCAAAAAGGAAAAAACATTTGATACATGTGATGATAAGGACAGAGACAAGAAACATGATTATGATGATATTAAGGAACAAGAAAATAATAGTTCAGCGGTAACTCTTAACATTCTCATCAACAAGCTAATTTTCTAGTCAATATGACATTTTGTAATTTTATTTTGACAAAATAAGAATTAGTTAAATTTTAAAAATTCTCTTCAAAATTAGGAGGTTGTCTTACATTTGGGTAAATACAGTATTTGTTCTTTGTTTTCAGGAAACATTCTGCATGTTGAATTACATAGAATTGATAAATAAAGCAAGAAAATAATGATAATACATTTATTTAAATCTATCTAACTTTATTGCAAATTTTATTGTAATGGTTTTTGACCTTAATGAACAGACCTTAATTTTTTATAACAATTTATTTGTTATACTATTACAGTCTGTTTATTAAGATCAAAAACCATTACAATAAAATAAACCATATAACAGATGTTAAAATATTTATTTTATTACAAATTACAATAACAGAAATGTGAAAATGAATAATTTAATTTTTTTTGCAGTTTTTGGAAAGTTTGTAGCTATTTCCGTTTTCTTTCATGCACAAAACATTATAAATGTTCTTTGTTGAGCTGTTTAGTCCCATAAGTGTCCTGTTTTTGTTGTGGGAGGTAGGGCATGATCTTCCCTCACTGTAAGGCTAGATCCGACGCCAACCTACTCGTTAGCTTTCAGGTTTTCCTCAACCAGGTATTCAGTTCCAGGTTCAGGTTTCCTCAAACCGCCAGCAGGGCATCGTCCCAGCCAGGACAAGCTCTAAGCTCCCAACCTGTCTCCCAGCATATTAGGGTGCTGTGTGGCTCGTTTTTTAGGATACTGTTCCGGCATTCGCCTGATGTTGATCGGAGAAACCTTGGAAGCTACTGATTAGAGCAGCCCGACGCCAGAATTCTTCTCCAGACAGCGGCTGAATTCGACCTAGCTTTCTAGCTTAGTTTTGAAAATCCAGCCACCGTCGTGACTCAAATCTCAGGTTGTTATACAGATTAGGGGTAACTGCTTTTTTATTTTGTCGGCAACCTGGATCATGCACAAATGTGAGAAAATGTAAGACTTAATAATAGATTCCAAATGTAACCAATCACAAATAAATTCACCGTAGTAATCCCAACTTCCAAACAAAATTCTGAACTATTGTTCAATAGTATTGATGAACAATGAAACGTAATAAACAATCATGGAAAAGTATTTTATGATAAAGAGCAATCCAGCAAATTCAATATTAACTGCAAAGATGAAAGATCTAACTAGGGTGTGCTGCTGCCAGCTTGTCATGTACTCCAGACATTGATCCAATGATTAAAAAAATCGGACGCTTAGTGCTATCTCTGGAGAGACCCCAGAAACTATTCCCTTATTGGATTGGGTGGGGGATCAGGAACATATGTAGGTTACAAGGGAACTGAGGAAGTTAACGTATCTGATGTAGAAGCAAATACTTCATTTTATTTCTTTTAACATTTTTAGGTTTAGAGAAGAATACATTGAATTCAATGGCAGAAAGTCTTCTCTTCTCATTTTCTTTCTTTCTTCTTCACTTTTCTTTTCTTTCTTTTCACTCTCTTCAATTTTTTAATTATTATTATTATCAATTTTATTTAATTTTTAATGATGCTTTTGTGCTTGATTTAATTAAGTTTTTTTCAAGTAATATGTGAGGTATTAGGATAGAAATTGCAATATTATATTATAATACGAGAAGAATTGTGCTGTCGTAACACAGGTTTGTTTTTATTTAATAAACCTTCATTTTACGGAAATTCATGAATTTGGTACATGAACTTCAGAACACATCTTGTTACATAGAAGTTACAAGATTAGGATTTCATTGTTATTATTAACTTTTCATTAAGTAATTTTGAATAATCCTGAGGATTTTTTTTTTCTCCCAACCAATGACACTTGAAATTATAGTGCATCTACTAGTACAAGGCATGGAGAATACCCCTACATCTATTGAAGCAAAGTAGTTATAAGATTAAAAGTGAATGACAACATATTGACCACTGCTTTTGGATGTTTCCTAGCTTTTGGAAAGAATGAATGCTCTGGATGATGAGGAAAACTTAACTCCTCTGGGATACCATCTGGCCAAACTGCCCATGGATCCACAGACTGGTAAGATGATCCTCATGGGGGCTATGTTCAGCTGTGTGGACCCTGTTTTCTCAGTGGCTGCTTCTTTGAGTTTTAAAGATGCATTTTTGGTCCCCCTGGTAAGTACACAAGTAATGGACTTTTTCTTAACTTCGTAGTTATTAATTCATTAATAAGCAATTTTCACTGATAGGATTTACAATTTCATTTACAACCGATATTTATTGTTCTTGGTATTGCAGCCTTTCATTCATGTTAATGCCACAAGATAATATTTTCTCTTACTGGTTACTATGAATAAAAATATAAACAATTTATAATAAAAGTGTCTATATTTACGTTAGGATGATTGTTATTTTAGTGAGGTTAAAATTTTATTAGTCTCGCCCGAAAATGACGTTTTTAATTAATAATAATTACAATAAGTGGATTTCCCAAAATATTAAACTCAAAATTCATATCATCCACCAAAGTGATCAATCCAAAGCAATCTATCCAACAAAACAATCATCCATGTCAAGAGAAGGGTGATGTTTATAATGTTAATTTTTATAACAATCCTTTAGTCTGCTGCTCCCTGACAGACACCATTGGTCAACAGTGTGTCTAGCACTCACCGAAGTATTTCACTTAATTTGCCATGTTTAATGTTTAATCATTTTATTTCTTCTTCTTCCTTCTTTCTACCCTATATTTTCCCATTACAAATAATATTTTAAAAAGTAATAATTTTTTTTTTTTTTAATCCTATATATCTGAATATTTTTAATAGGTTCTCACAATTAATTAAACAATTTTCACTATGAAACATGAAATGTAAACCTACTAACCCCTTATATCGCTGCTACTCTTACATGGACTCATTAGTCAGTGTCTCCTTTGAGAAGACTCGAGATGAGAAGTCACTTCAATTTTCTTTGCTCATGAAGCAGTACTGTAACAAAGTCTGTCTTCATGTCTATGAATGATATTTGCAATGAGGATGCATCTGACAGCTGCTAGGTACATGCCAAATGTTCTTCCGTTCTCTTCCTTTGAATACAAACATTACACAGTGACTCTGTATTCTGACATTGAGTATCATCTACTATAAAATTAGATCCTAGAGAAAGGCCTGCGGTATTAAGCAGTTTTCTTTGCCTCAGAATAATCTACAATGTAATAATATGCTTGGTTTTGAGGGTATTGCAGTTGAGATGTTCTGTGTGCCTAAAAACAATGTTGTGTTTCTTCTGACTACCATGTGCAAATGGAGCAGAAATTACACTGTGTCCAGAGAAGAAGAAAATGCTGTGGTTTTAATTTTTTTTATAAAAACCTGAAAAGGAAAGATTAAACAAGATGGGTATTCTGAAGAAAAGATAGTATTCAGTTTCAGTAATAACAAACTAATTAAGTAATTTCATTTGTTCAATGCTAGAAAGTTTGCATACAATTATGTGTGCCATACAAGAAAAAGTCTTTCGCAGATGGTGAAAACAGCACCCACTTTCACATAGTAGCAACAAATTCAAATAAATTTTCGGCTATCCGGGAGACGCCGCGTCGTTGGCTGGGGTGCCGACGTTTCGCCTGACATGTCGCAGGCTTCCTCAGGGCAGTGACGAAATTGAGGAAGCCTGCGACATGTCAGGCGAAACGTCGGCACCCCAGCCAACGATGCGGCATCTCCCGGATAGCCAAAAATGTATGGATTCGAGCCGCGGAAGCTTACGTATACAACAAATTCAAATGCTCGCTAACCACTGAAGACACAGAAGTTCATGGTACTTAACTATCTATGTTGCTGCTGCTGTTTCTTGTTGTTGTTGTTCTTCTTCTTCTTATTCTTATTCTTATTCTTCTTATTCTTCTTCTCATGCTTATTCTTCTTCTTCTCCTCCTCATGCTTATTCTTCTTCTTCTTCTCCTCATGCTTATTTTTCTTCTTCTCCTTCTCCTCATGCTTTATTCTTCTTCTCCTTCTCCTCATGCTTATTTCTTCTTCTCCTTCTCCTCATGCTTATTTCTTCTTCTCCTTGTCCTCATGATTCTTCTTCTCCTTCTTCTTCTCCTTGTCCTCATGCTTCTCCTTCTCCTTCCTCTTCTCCTTCTCCTCCTTCTTCCCCTTCTCCTTCTCCTCCTTCTTCTCCTTCTTCCCCTTCTTCCCCTTCTCCTCCTCCTTCTTCTCCTTCTTCCCCTTCTTCCCCTCCTTCTCCTCCTCATCCTCCTCCTTCTT